AACATCTGGCTTTCCATAGCACTCACCCATGTCTCCTGCAACCGTGTGCACGCCTGCCGCTCAGTGCATTTATCTTTGTTGAAAATTACCACCCCTGGCCTCAATCTCGCAAACTACGTATTTGCTTTGATAGACCTGGTGGAAAAACCCCACACGTCTGACATCTCCATCTGCGAGAACACACTGAGGTTATTGGACCTGTTCCCAGGATGTGTTTACTCTTGTCTACATGATAGATTAGATGTAATTTTCTTTTTTAAACAGCTCAGTGCAATTAAGAGGTCTCTGATGATGATCTTAGGTACAGTTCAGGTAGAGAATAAATCCTGTCGGTAAATCCTACCACCCTGGACCGAATTCAGACACAGCTGAGGGAGCAGAGTGGTCAGCGCCCCCAGCATCATCCTGTCTGGTCCCAGCTTTCCCACCTTTCCCATTGGCCCAGCGGGATGCCAGAGTGCCTCTCGGGCAAGCCCTTCCGACTGGGACAACAGCTGCTAAGGGCAAATCTCTGCCAGTTTCTCCTGCAATTTGAAGAAGTGGGTCAAGAAGTATATGATGACCCACTAGCCTGTCATTTCCTCTCTCCAGACGATAAGCTCTCTGGTGGCAGCGTCACTGTCTCATTCACCTTCTTCTTCATTCTGAGCATCTGACCACTCAGAAACACACATTTGTTATCGGACTGGGTAGACGGACACAAACAATGTGTGGCTCCAACATCATCCAAACTGCTTTCCTAATTGTTTTTTTTACAACTAAGCTCTAAAATGAGGAGGAAAAAAACCCATTTCCTGAGGCAACTGATCTGCTTTTAGGTTAATCTCCCTAAAATTTTGTGCCGGCGGCGGATGGCAAAGGTTCTCCAAAGCAAGAGACAGGAGATGATACAGACGAGAGGGAGGAAGTCTTGGAGTGATGGTTTAGAAAACGCATTTTGCTATCTTAAGAGGACGCTGCCGAATGTATACAGAGGCACCACTACCATCACTCCATGCTTCGCTAATAGGAGACCCTAAGTTTCTTTAAGGACTTGTTCAAATCCACAAGTATTCACTAGATGCTGAGGGGAAGCAGTGGGGTGAGTGCCCAGACACGAGACAAATGTGCCCTGGAAAGGAGCCTGTCATTTGAGGACAAAGAACAAGAGCCCCGCAAGCCTGGCGTGAAGAGCCAGTAGCTGTCTGGTGACTTCTGAGGCCCCCAAAGTCTCCACTCACCAGCACAGTGTCCCACGAGGCTGAGGAACTGCTCTTCCCGGCAGCCGGTCCTGCAGTTCCCGCCGCTGAGAGAGACGTGAGGGTGACAGGAGATGCAGTCGGACTCCAGCGGCCCACGGCACTGCCTGCAGGTGGGGTGACATTCTAGCAGGAAAACGACAACAGGGTTGGAATTAGCAGTTCAGCATGCAAACACGTGAAGTATTTGACGTGCTCCGCCAGTTACGCTAGGAGCAGACCCCAAACTCTCATCATCTTCTGAAGATTCCTGGGCGACCCTGGCACATGCGGGGACCTGACCAAGAGACTGCATTTCTGAGTCGATGAGAATCCCACCCATGAGCGTAACACACAGCCTAGAACCGTGAATATCTGCATAATCGGCCACACGTTCCAGAGGGACCAGTACGACCATCCCCGTCTGTGCGAATAAGGAGGCACAAAGCAGAAACATGCGTGGTGAGACTCCCCATCCTGAAATGCCACAATTCAAAGAGAGAGCAGGGCAGGGAGAAGAGCTGCTTCTCAGCAGTTCCTGGCGGAGAAGTGGGGAGCCACGCGCAGCAGGTGACACCGAAGCTTCTCGCTGCAGTCGGATGCAGCCAGGCTGTCCCTTTCCGCTACAGCTTGGATGCCGGTTTCATCAGCAATACTTAATCAAGACACAAGGAACCTCCTCTTGCTGGAGGTTATCACGAGCTCTGTCTGAAGTTGAATTCCTTAGACAAAATTCTGTCAAGCTATGTCTTCCCCAGAAGAACCACCAAATGGACAAGAGGTACGGCACAGGAAGAACCAAGCGAGTCACCGTAAGGTGTAGGCAATGAAGACGAGGGTGGCAAGGAATCGAAGCAGGCTGCAGCTGTGGCTGCGTTTGGGCTGCCAAGGCAGCAGCAGGAGCAACACATGGAAGGAGACTGAAGGGTTCCCTGCCAAGGACAAGGAGGTCTAAGCATGTCTGATTCCAGGAGGATGGGCGGGGAGGGCCTGGAGCTGGGGAGAGCTTGCTGGAACTGAAGAAATCCCTCCTGGCACACAGCTGGTGGAAAGCAAAGGCACAGATTCCGAGTAAAGTCAACTGCCTCTCACTTCTGGCAAGAGGCCAAGAGAAGATAAGGAGTTATACCAAAAAAAAAGCAAGCGAGAAAACGAACTGCCGATTAGAAGGATAGCAGTATCACCCCTCCTACATTCCTGAGGCTCTGAACTTTGAAAACGTCTATCCAAAAGATAACTAGCATTCTCAGGATGATTTCCACTACCCAGGTCTTCCTCCCTACCAGAATATTTCCAGTGACCTGGGTTCCCTGCTGCTCACGGAACCATCCACCCGCTGCCTTCAGGCAGACAGAGGCACGGGCAGAGAAAAGGTAGAGCCACTCGGACTTTCCTCCCCCAAACAATTTTACACCCAGGAGAACCAACTGGGCTAGGATGAAAGCACCAGCTTTCAGGGACAACCCTAAGGACAGAGAAACCAGGAACATTCCCCCACTGAGCTTGACAGAGTGTTTAAAGTCAAGCAATTCACCAGGGGCCTACGCAGATTAAAAGGCACTTGGCAAAAGGAAAAAAAAAGTCCAGAATAAAAATAATATTGATCTTCAATCATCTAAATTTGTACTCGCTCTAAATTTCCTCTTTGGAATTTAAGGCTACACAAATCTAACAAATGTTAATTTATTTTTAAAATATTTTATAAATTTACTGCGTGTTTTCTGACTCCAGAAATACAAGTAATACAATTTCATCCCAATAAGCTTTTTCCTATCAGCTGGCCTAACAGTCTCTTTTTAGAAATAAAATAGGAATCATGATAGAATGTGTTCTGTCTTTTATCCCCTGTAGATACAAAAAACCACCATGCTACAATAAGGTGCTTAAACTTTAGTATTTTGTCAATTCCAATAAAATCCTGTACTAATCTCAACTAGTAATTTCCAGAATCCCTGTCACTGAAATATAAAGGTGCTCTTAAAAATATACTGGACTGAACGTCGAAGAAGGAAGTAAATACCTCTCTCCACTTTTGCTCTTTTCTGCTGCCGCCAGGGGCAGGAGGGCTGAGAAGTGCCCAGAGTCTCCTGTGCCAGATGCCTGATCCTGTCCAAATCACCAGCACCTGTGGCAGGTGGTCTCTACGATGAAGACCATCACATGTGTCCCTCGCTGGACGGATAAGCCATCTCCCCTCTGGGAGATGGAGTCTATTCCTTCACCGCCTCAGATCTGGGCTGTCCTGCTTTGACCAACGGAAGACAGCAGCAGTTGACAGGGAGACTTTGGAGGTTCAGTCACAAGAAACTTGCCGCGTCTGCTTAGGTCTCTTGGAACACTCAGTCTGGGGGAAGACAGCTAACATGTAAGAAGTCACGGGCGAGGCCCGGTGGCTCACGTGTGTAATTCCAGTGCCTTGGGAGGTGCGAAGGGAAGATCGCTTGAGGCCAGGAGTGTGAGAACATATAAGAAGTCTGACTAGTGCGATCGCCACACTGTGAGGAAGCCCAATCAGCCACAGAAGAGGCCTCGCAGAGTAAGAGATGCTTGACCAAGGCAGGTGTCAGGCGTGTTGGTGAAATCCACCCCAACCCCTTACAGGACCCTAAGAAAAAACTGCCCAGCTGAGCCCAGCAACCCCCAGAGCTGTGAAAGATAACCAAATTTTAATCCACAACTCTGGTTAGTTTATGAGATAACCAGAGCAGTACCTCACTGACAGAGATTAAGTAAAAGATGTCTCTTGTGTCCCTGAGTGTCTCAATTCCCAAATTCCAAATCCTTCCTCCACTTCTTACGTGCAAAGGAATGGAATAGTATGTAGCCATGAAAATTACACACACACACACACACACACACACGTTTGTGCATAAAATTTTTCATGACAGAAGGGATTGTTTATGGCTTAATGTTTGGGAAAGATGAATATAAAAAGTGTAGCTCTCACGTGTTTTACACATGCTGTTTATGCAACAGCACAGGCAAGAGGTGGACCAAAAAGGAACATATCATCGGGTTTAGAGTGTTGCTTTGGAAATGTGGAATTACCAGTGATCCCCCCCAAATCCCCCTTTTTATCTATTTTGAACTTTTAAACCTTATACAATGAGCACGTAATCCTTGAACGATCAGAAACATAAATTTTTAGACCTTAAAAAGAGCCACAGCAACAGAGAGTTGCACCAAACTGCGTTCTGGTTCTTACAGGACACAAAGGTCATTGTTTAGTCCACGAGGAGGGTCACCGAGTCAGACCATGGTCTTCCAGGCGAGAGAAAACCAACCTCAGGTTCATTCAAATGTTACAGTCTCGGGAGTAGAGCTGGTTCCATCTCTCGACTTCATCGCCGCCTCCTTACTGGAAGCACAAAATCCTACTTGTTCCCCTCACTCTAGACCTTGGCCCCCGCAGGCCCTGGTGTGACAGGGTTTCTAATGACAGTGTCCGGCTGCGCATGAAGACGACGCATGGCACAGGGAATGCGTAACAGCATGTCGCACGCTCACCCGCGCTACCATCGGCACGTCGCACGCTCACCCGCACGGCCACCAGCACGTCGCTCGCTCACCTGTGCAGCCGCCTTCCTGGTTAAAGTAGCCGTCCGGACACTGGGAGAGGCACCGCCCGTCCAGCAGCACACGGGAAGGGCCGCAGGCCGTACAGTTATTCGGACTCTTCCCTGCGCACCTGACGCAGGACTGGTGGCAAGCTGGGAGAAAGACAAAGCAGAGGGGACAGTCAGGAAAGCTCACGTGGCACAGGCAGTAGCTCTGTCTCTCCTGTCAACACTCCTGGGCTGGGACACGTTCTGCACGTTCACTTGGCTTTTCCAAGTATGGGGAACGCATCTCCCACGCTTCTCTCTAAAGGCAACCCCCCTGCAAAGCAAGCATTTGCAGAACCCAGATTAAGTAAAGCACAGATGCTGGACATAAACATTTGCAGAGTCACACGTTTCCTCCTACCCGAGCTCCCATTTTCAGAGCATGTCACACAAAGCACAGGAAGCCACAAAACGGGTCTCCCTCCCTTGGGACAGCTTCTCCACTGTCACTGTCACTAGATACCCGGCTGCTTATCAGGCTGCTCAGATGAAAGAGAAAAGGTGGCGGAAGCCTTATCGATTCCACAAAGGTTATGCGGTGCCTACTTTGTGGTGGAGACTGACATGCACACAGGAGAAGAACTGTGGAACATTCTGAGCTGCAACAAGCAAGTGCAATGCAATGAAGGGGGACAGCGTACGGCACAGAGAGTAAGAGCATCACATCACAGCTCCGTGTGACCTTGGCTGAGTTAGGCAGGTTTTCAAACCTCCTGCTTCCTCAATTACAAAACACAGATACAAGCAGCACACATTGCATGGGGTGTTTGGACGCCAACTGGGTTGATGCACGTAAAGTTCTTGGGATAGTGCTGGATGCGCAGTCAAGGCTCACTAAGTCTTAGCTATGATCATAACGTTAAGTGCTAAGTTTGAAGCACCCGCAGTGCAAAGACAGTAAAGAAAGCAAAGACAGAGAACATCTCTTCTGCTTGCCATCATCGGACCTTTAACGGTAAAGGAGATATTTGCCTCATTTCCCAAGAGTGGCCACTGTCTCAATCATGCCTTTTATTTTCCCTATTTCTGATTCTTTGACATCTGAGACACTGCTGACCATGGAGAGATGCCCCTCCCAGGGCTAGGTTCCTAGAGGAAGTAGATGGTTAGCCGGGGAGGATGCCCTCACATGCACATCAACCAGTCCAGACCCTCCCCACCCCACCTCCCTTAGTATATCCTCTGACACTCCTGCCACTGCTCTCCAGGGCCACAGCCTCTATGCCTCACGGACCACTGTGATGACCAGCCAACCCTACAGGGACAGCCCCCATGCCTCACGGACCACTGCGATGACCAGCCAACCCTATAGAGGCAGCCCCGTGCCTCACGGACCACTGCAATGACCAGCCAACCCTACAGAGACAGCCCCTGTGCCTCACGGACCACTGGGATGACCAGCCAACCCTAAAGCTGCTGACTCTGCCTCACCCGTTTCTTCCCATAGAAACCACAGTGAGGCTCTGCCCACGTTTCCCCCTCACTCCTCTGCCTCCCTTGCGACTCCGAACGTCAGGGTGTGCCCTTTACTCTCGGGAGCTATGAGCAGCAAACTCTGTTTTCAGTGGCAATACTCTCCTGATCTGCTGGCCTTGCCACTCCTGAATCATAAAACCTACACTTTAAAACAACCAGCCGTTTACCTCCAATTATTCATTCATTCATTACTGAGCCTCAAGGAGGTCCAGGTGCTGGGGACTCAATGCTGAGCAAGACAAAGACCTGGTTCTTCCCCACGCAGATGAGCCCATGCGTTTTAGGCCACCTAAACGTCTGTCCACCAGCCAAGACCCACCAGACTGCAGAGCACCCCTCCGAGCTTCCTCCATCACAGACCCAGAAGACTGACAGGCCAGGAGGCTTGGAGGAACCAGATGTGATTTTCCACCATTGAGATCTCCACTTCCACCAACCCCTAATAAAATGTAACATACCATCTTTGATATACATGGGGCTATTCCACCAACCCCTAATAAAATGTAACATACCATCTTTACTATATATGGGGCTAACATTCAGCGAGTATGTCCTGGTACATCAGTACCGGTTGTCATAATCTTAAGCTACCTCCACGCAGGTTGGCACATGGCTGCTGCCCTAAGCCTTCCAGTTCTCTGCTGCACCCTGCCCCCCTCCTAACCCAGGAAGTAAAGGTTTAACACCTGCACCAGGAAGCCCCGGGACCTGCTCCTGAGCCGAGGCCAACGCCCATTCTCGTTAGGCGGTGCCCTCGCCTTACTGGTTGATGGATATTTTGTTCATCATCCCTGGATCCACTGTAGCTTTATATCTATTCAAGAGTATTTTTTACTACATGAAAAAGAGAACCTAGAGCCCATATTTTTAATTAATTTCCTTTTTCTTACAATTAAATTTTATTTTTTTAGATTGCCTTATAAATAGCTTTATTAGCACAAGTCATAGGAATTTTTTCCCAAATATTTTCAAAGTCTCTTAAAGTGGAATAGGTAAACTGATGTTTGAGAATGTATTATAGAAGAAGGGTATGTATTAGCCCCTTATTGAAGAAGTCTGTAACACAAAATGAAATGGCACATAATGGAAAGTCAGGGGTGATATTTAAAAAAAAAAAGAAAACAACTAAATTACATTGTCAACACAAAGCTTTCCAGGATAATCTGGGGGAAACATCTGGAAGCAACACACTATTTTCTACATACCTATGACAATGATACCATTATGTCTGTGTTGGGCTGTACAAGATTGATAAAATCCCAGCTCTTCTCGTTATACCTCCGTGACATGGTTTGGTGTTTGCCCCTCCGGATCTGACGCTGAAATGCGATCTCCAGTGTTGGAGGTGGGGCCCAGTGGGAGGGTCTGGGTCACGGGGTGGACCCCTCAGCAGTGGCTTGGTGCTCTCCTCGCTGTAATGAGTGAGTCTGGGTCACAGGAGAGCTGGCTGTTTAGAGCCTGGCACCCTGACCCCTTGCTCCTTCTCTCGCCAGGTGACAGTCCTGTTCCCCCTTCACTTCTGCTCTGATCGGAAGCTTCCTGCAGCCCTCACCAGAGACGACGCTGGCTCCTGTACAGTCTGCAGGACCGTGAGCCAAATAAACCTCTTTTCTTTATAAATTACCCAGTCTCAGGTATTCCTTTATAGCAACGCTTAACAGACTAATACACTCCCTAATAAATAGGAAATCAAAGGGTATCATTGTGGAATTCAAGACGGGAGAAAGATCAATCAATGTATTATGAGCATAAATATATTTTCATTTGGTCACAAAGCCAATACAATGGCCTAGCTCAATGTGAATAAAGCTCATTATTAAATTACATAAAGCAGAAAAGCAAAGGGACAAACAAACGGAAAGGTTGGTAGGCCAAGAAGTCCAGGAGAAGTCCCTTTGCCACACACTCAATTTTAGAAATAGCCCCACTGAACGTCACCATGGCGGCTTCGGGACCCCCTCACTGCAGATGTTTAAGAATTAAATAGATGAAGAACCAGTTAGTTGCCGTGGGCACAGAGGGAAGAGGACATGCTGGGCGATGATCCTCTCAAAGCACGTTTTCTCCATAACACTCTGTTTCTGTAAGTGCAGGTATTAGCATCTGTGTCTTTCTTAAAAATCTCATGAAACTTCAGTTCTATGCTGGTTTTGGAAATGTCTACACTACTCCAGTGAGTTTTATGAGGCTTAATCATTCTTTGGAAGCTGATTTCACAGCAGGAGTTCTGTCTGAAGTCTAAGATCCTTCAAGGAAGACTAACTCCATTACAGAGCCTATATGGGAGACACCCGAAAGTTGTATGAATAATTCCTCCAGGTAATACTACATTTTCCAAGACTGGCTTTCTGGCTGATGGCTAAGTACGTATATTTCTGAAAAAGCACGAGTGAGCTGCTTCAGCCCTGCAAGTCCCTTATGTGGTTGAAAGTCCAGTCAACCTGACTCCAGCCCAAACTGTACCCATGACAATTAAAAATATCAATTTTTGCTCATCCTATTTTCTATTCAAATTTCAAACAACCGATACTGCCATTTCTCTTTTCTTTTTAACGATACAAAAAAGTGGCATAACATCCCTACTTTCACGCCATATACAATTTCCTACATTTTCATGTTAAAAACAAATGTTGAGATGGACTTCTCTAAAAAATAAGGTATAGATACCAAAATATTCTAGTACAGCAGGGAGGAAAATTGAAATGAGCGAAGTCGATCAGAATCAACCTCCCCCTTTCCTTCACCCTCCTGTTCTTTATTCTCATTCCTTTTTTTGTCTTCCTTTCTTTTTTAACATCTCCCGTCTCCCACCCAAACTAGACTGGAAAATCTTTAGGAGTAAAAATCCCATCTTTTTTCATCCCTGTGGACTCCTGCAGTACCTGTCACAGTTCCTGTCCTCGGCATGTCATAAGCTCTCAATAAACGAATTTCCACTGACTAAATGGGCGGGTGGGTGGGTGGAGGGAAACGCCAGCATCACACTCATCTAGTTCTTCTCTCTTTGATCATTTCTTCCAGCCTCTTTCTCTGAACGCCACATAAATATTGGAGCTTCCCAAAACTCTGCCCTTGGCCCTTCCTCTTCTCACTCCTCACTTCCAAAATACTCCTCCTTATCCACTTCTAAGCTCAGTCCGTCTTCACTTCATGTAAATGGCGGACAGTGTCCCAAACTGCACTCTTTATCGACCCCCAGCCCCACCTCCCACTCCCCTGCTGGTATTTGTTTCCACTCCCCCACCTCACTCAGAAGCCCCACCACTCACCACGTCACTCGGGCCGACAACCGTGAGTCATCCTAAACTTCTACTTTTCCATCCCCACAGCACATTCAGGCCCTGTTGACTTGACATCCTAAATCTCTGTCGAATCCATCCCAACTTCCCCATCCCCGTGACCCCTTAGTCCGGACCTTCGACACCATGCGTGATGTGGATCAGCGCGGCAGCCTCCTAACCAGCCCACCCGCTTCTCCCCACTTATCTGCCACACAATCACCAGACTTTATCATCCTTATAAAATGCAAACTGACCAAATCATTCCGCTACTCAGAATCTCTTCATGGTTCACCAATGCCGACAGGGTAAATGCTAAACTCCTTAGCACGGCACATAAAGCACTTTACG